AGTGTGAGGTGGTACCTCATTGTAGTTTTGATTTGCATTTCTCTAATTATTAGTGATGTTGAGCACTCTTTCATGTGTTTGTTGGCCATCTGTGTGTCTTCTTTGGAGAAATGTCTATTTAGATCTTCTGCCCACATTTTGATTGGGTTGTTTTTTTGGTTTGTTTGTTTTTTAAATTAATTAATTAATTTATGGCTGCATTGGGTCTTTGTTGCTGTGTGCAGGCTTTCTCTAGTTGCAGTGAGCGGGGGCTACTCTTCGTTGTGGTGCGAGGGCTTCTCATTGTCGTGGCTTCTCTTGTTGTGGAGCATGGACTCTAGGCACGCAGGCTTCAGTAGTTGTGGCATGTAGGCTCAGTAGTTGTGGCTTGCGGGCTCTAGAGCTCCAGCTCAGTACTTGTGGTGCATGGGCTTAGTTGCTCCATGGCATGTGGGATCTTCCCTGGCCAGGGCTCGAACCTGTGTCCCTTGCATTGGCAGGCAGATTCTTAACTGCTGCGCCACCAGGGAGGCCCTGTTTGTTTGTTTTGTTATTGAGCTGTATGAGCTGTTTATATATTTTGGAAATTAAGCCCTTGTCAGTTGTATTGTTCGCAAATATTTTCTCCCAGTCTGTAGATTGTCTTTTTGTTTTGTTTATGGTTTCCTTTGCTGTGCAAAAGCTTATAAGTTTGATTAGGTCCCATTTGCTTATTTTTGCTTTTATTTATTTTTGCCTTGGGAGACTGAACTAAGAAAACATTGCTCTGATTTATGTCAGAGAATGTTTTGCCCATGTTCTCTTCTAGGAGTTTTATGGTGTTCTGTCTCATATTTAAGTCTTTAAGCCATTTTGAGTTTATTTTTGTGTACGGTGTGAGGGTGTGTTCTAACTTCATTAATTTACACGTGGCTGTCCAGCTTTTCCAACACCACTTGCCAAAGAGATTATCTTTTCTCCATTGTATATTCTTGCCTCCTTTGTCAAAGATTAATTGACCATAGGTGTGTGGGTCTATTTCTGGGCTCTTTTTTCTGTTCCATTGATCCATATGTCTGTTTTTGTGCCAATACCATGCTCTTTTGATTACTATAGCTTTGTAGTATTGTCTGAAGTCTGGGAGGGTTATGCCTCCAGCCTTGTTCTTTTTCTTCAGGATTGCTTTGGCAATTCTGGGTCTCCTATGGCTCCATGTAAATTTTAGGATTATTTGTTCTATTGATAGTTCTGTGAAAAATTTCATGGGTAATTTGATAGGGAGCACATTAAGTCTGAAGATTGCTTTAGGTAGTATGGCCATTTTAGCAATATTAAGTCTTCCAATGCAAGAGCATGGGATATCTTTCCATTTCTTTAAATCATCTTCAACTTCTTTTATCAGTGTTTTATAGTCCTCAGTGTATAAGTATTTCACCTACTTGGTCAGGTTTATTCCTAAGTATTTTATTCTTTTTTGATGTGATTTTAAAAAGGATTTTTCTGATGTTTCATTGTTAATCTAAAGAAATGCAACAGATTTCTGCATGTTAATCTTGTATTTTGCTACCTTGCTGAATTCGTTTGTCAGTCCTAGTGGTTTTTGTGTTATGTGCAGATGACATGATACTATATATGGAAACCACTAAAGTCCTAGGAGTCTTTAGTGGTTTCCATATATAGTATCATGTCATCTGCACATAATGACAATTTTACCTCTTCCCTTCCAATCTGAATAACTTTTATTTCTTTTTCTTGTCTGATTGCTCTGTCTAGGACTTCCAATATCATGTTGAATAGAAGTGGTGAGAGTGGGCATCCTTGTCTTGTTCCAGATTTTAGTGGGAAGGCTTTCAACTTTTCACCATTGAGTATTATGTTGGCTGTAGTTTTGTCATAAATAGCTTTTATTATGTCGAGATATGTTCCCGCTATACCCACTTTGGTAACGCTTTTCCTTTTTTTTTATTATGAATGGATGTTGAATTTTATCAAATGCTTTTTCTGCATCTACTGAGATGATCATGTGGTTTTAGTCATTTCCTTTGTTGATGTGGTGTATCACATTGATTGATTTGTGTATGTTGAACCATTCTTGTGACCCTGGGATGAACCCAGCTTGATTGTGGTCTATGATCTTTTTTATGTGTTGTTGGATTTGGCTTGCTAGTATTTTATTGAGAATTTTTGCATCTATGTTCATGAAAGACATTGGCCTGTAATTTTCTTTTTTGGTAGTATCTTTGTCTGGTTTTGGTAGTATCTTTATCAGGGTGGTGGCTTCATAGAATGGCTTTGGGAGTGTTACCTCCTCTTCAGTCTTTTGCAAGAGTTTGAGAAGGATCAGTATAAGTTCTTCTTTGTATGTTTTGGTAGAATTCCTCAGTGAAGCCATCAGTCCTGGACTTTTGTTTGCAGGGAATTTATTTTATTATAGATTCTATTTCACTTCTAGTGATCGGTCTGATCAAATTATTTATTTCTTCTTGATTCAGTTTTGGTGGGCTGTAGGTTTCTAGAAACTTGTCCGTTTCTTCTAGGTTGTCCAATTTGTTGGCATCGCCTCTTCTTATAAGGGCACTAATCCCATTCATGAAGGCTCTGCCCTCATGACCTAATTACCTCCCAAAGGCCCCGCCTCCAAATACCATCACATTGGGATTAGGGTTTCAGCACATGAATTTGGGGGTCACACATTCAGTCCATTGCATTTGCATACCTTGGCAACTGGAAGATTTTATCCTTAGGTATGACTGAGACTAGCTTTGTAGTTTTAGAAACTGTGTATGCAAGGGCGTCTTCAAAAAGATACCCACAAGCTTGGTGATAAGGTTAAACTTGTAAAAATCCATTCATGAGTAGATGAGATACATGTCTATTCAAAAGGCCTCCCAAAGGTGGCCAAGCCCCAAATACAATGCAAGAAGCCAAAAATCTAAGCACCTAGCTCTTTGACTTTGGCCTGTGGCTCTGTGCCTCTATTTATACTCTGTGCCTCTATTTCTTTAAGCTCCCTAGCTTAAAGAAAAATAATAACAGTAGCTAATGTTATTTAGACGTCACTCAGTACCAGGCATTGTTGTATATTACATCCTTACAACAAACTGCAAGGGAGGCAGTATTACCATGCCAATTTTACAGATGAGGAAACTGAGGTTTGGAGGAGTTATGTATTTTCCTAAGGTTTCAGAGAAAGTAAGCTCCAGAGCCTGTACTCTTAGCCTTGATACAGTGCTGCCTCCCTGTGTCCTGCTCTGTGCTTCTCTTAGCTATTATTGGACAGGCCATGTGATCTTCCTTCAGTCAGGGAGCAATATCACCGGAGATCTAGAAGACACTAAAAAAACCCCGCCTAAATGACCAGACCAGAGATCATGTGCACAGTTGTACTACAATGTGTGTGGCCACTGAGTGGTTTTCAAATGCTACGAGCATTCATCTTGATGTTGCCAGTGTCTAAAGGACCAGGCTGAGTTGCCTCAGTTCTGGGAGGGACCACTGAGTTGGGCTTTTTTTTTGATGAAGCCAAATTCTTGAGGAAAGACTTGTTCTTTCAGGGCTCAGTGGGATTAGTCAGGTCTGAGTTCTCAGGTGCTCAGAGAAACCTGGTGGAGGAGAAAGGGGATGGGCAGCTAGCCCCATGGTGTGGAGGCCTACCTGGAACCAGATGAGAATCCTGCTTCTGAAGGGTTCCTGAGGTTCTGTTTGGACCTGTGGGCTCACAAGAAGCTATTTCCAGGGGCTGCTGAAGGCCTGACCCATGCTTTGGAGGGGGAGGCCCACCGTAAGGACCAGAGAGGGTAGGGGGAGTATATATCAGTGGGAGGTCACCAGCAGGGGGCAGCTGACCCAGCTCAGTGATGGTCTCAAAGCGGCTGGTAGAGCAGAGGTCATGGCAAGAGGAGTAATTAAAAAAGGAAAACCCAAGAGATGTTACAGAGCACACAGTACACTTGAAATGTTTCCTGAGAATCTCTCAAAAAAGCAGATGATGGGGCTGGGGAAGAGAATGTCACATTGAAGTGGTTAATTTCCAGCTATTAGAAGCTTGTGCTATAACAGTCTGGGTATAAAAAGGAAAAGTATTATTAGCCAAAGTCATGGTCTGGTGAGGCCCGGGTTGAATGGGTTACAGTTGAAATGTAAATTAGATAAGCACATTTATCCAACAACTCAAGCTGTCGGCTTTAGGTGATTTGACTTGAGGGGAATTGACTCAGGCACCTACCTTGCTCTTTTACTTCAAAAGTATCCCGTGTACTAAACTTACTGTGATAATCATTCCATGATGTGTGTGAGTCAAATCATAATGCTGTACATCTTAAACTTATACAGTGTTGTATGTCAATTATATCTTAATAAAACTGGAAGAAAAAAAAGTATCCCAGGTAGCTTTGACCATTTTCTGAATTTACAGTTTTTCCGTTTTTAAAGTGGCAGCAGCACACTGGAAATGCCCACAGAGTAGAGTTTGTTTTCTTTCTTTCTTTGAATCTTTCTTTCTTTGAATCTGTGATTTATTTCAGTCAGAATGGACACCAACACCTTTTAAGAGCAATGAAAGACATTTTCACATATTGAGGTATGGGGAAGTCATTCTGGCTTATACATAGGTTAACTTGATTTTATGCTAACTAACACAGCCTGTTTGTGGCCTATCAAACATTAGTCAAATTGTACATCTGCTTTAATTATTAAAGAAAAGGACATATTGACCAGAAGTAAAGAATGTCCATGTTAAAAATAAAGATTAAATGCCTCCCTTCCTGGGATGCCAATGCTAGTACTCCTTTGAATGATAAGACTCCCTTTCCAGGTGCCAAGGCCATACTGACTTACTGTGTATGTGCTGATCTGTTTGTTTGTTTTTAAACCTTGAAGGAATGTATCCCTGACTTATTTGGTTTTCTTTGTCCTGACAAGACACAAAATTGTGCTGAAAACCATGGTTCTCTAGAGCAGTTCTTCACTTATCCAAGAGGCTGTCTCCTGGGCTGTAATCCTCAGTTTGGTTCAAGTAAAACTCTCTTCTATTCCTATCACAGGTTGGGACCTGGGACCTGGGACCCTTTGCTGCAGTACTTGCACCTGGACGAATATCTCCTCGACCAGCAGAATACAAGAAACTCTAAGGAACTAAAAATAACTGCCCACATGTGCAGTTGGGGCAAAATATGAACAATGAGGTACAACAAGGCCAAAACCCAGCTGCCACTTCTGCGGTGCCAGGAGCAAAGGCGGGGTCCTGCGCATGGTCCCTACAAGGGGTGGGCAGACCCCCTAAGCTGCCCCTCTGGCCTACCCACTGATCCACCCCCCCTCACCGCATTTAAGGGACCAGCTTGTCACCCCCTCAGGGAGTGCGCAAGGACACCTGTTACATGTTTTTGCTCCCTTGTGCCGCAGCGATAAAGCCTTACCTGAATTCCTTGTCTGGCCTCATCAATTTCTATTGATTAAAGAATCCAAACACCCAGATCGGTAAAAGGAGTTTGCTGTCGTTCATGAGATGAGACCCAGATTGACCTGGATTCAGGGCAGCCTTCACACTGAGGACCTATCAGTTTGCTACTATGAGTCCACATACGCGGGCACCGCGTGGGGGTCTTGGGAAAGCCCCTAGAGAGCCAGAGCCAGCTTTCCAGGCATGTGTGAACTGTGCGCTCCTACATGACCCCACGCTCAAAAGGGCCTCACACTTGGTTTAATGCTCTGCATTTGCCATCTTGAAGTTCTTAATAATTTTATCTTTGAACATCTTTCTGTTTGTCAGCAAGGTATGATGGGTGCCACATGCATGTGAGCAGAGGAGTTAAAAGCAACGTGTGTGCGGCGTTCTTTGCACATAGCGTTCCTGATGTCCTCATCAGGCGTGCTCAACGCAAATCCTAGGTGACCGTTAGGCCTGTGATTCAGTGGGGGCAGGGGTGGGAGTGGGGAAGGGCTGACATTCTAGAGAGGCTACACTTTCCATTCCAACTGAAATTTTCTTCCAATGCAGGAAGGAGGCAACGGACAAGGATCCCCATCACGTCCTTCTTACACGTGTTACTTCCCTGTATCAGCCTATCAGACAACCACATCCCCTGAAAATGACGACCTAGATGGAAAGGGAAAGCTCAGGCCACCCACAGCTCCTTCTCTTTTTGTTTCTCTACTCATCAATAAGCTGAAGGTTGAGAATGTTGGTAGGATATGTGTACACCCATTAAGAAATAAAAACAGTTGAGTTAGTTTTGTGTAGGATTTCCATTGTTCAGGTAAGAACACAATACTTATTCATGTACAAGCAATGAAATACGAATTGTGTCATATCAGTGATTTCCTTATTAGTTAGTGCTCTTATATTTGCGTTTAAAATGGGTATTGCATAACACAAAAATGACGGGTAAAAAATGGTCTCTTTAATGGCACTTTTTCTCACTTTTTGGGCCCCTGCACTTTCGTTTTGCACCGGGCCCTGGATGTTACGTAGCTGGCCCTGCAGATACCTTAGTTTGGACTGAAAAGTCGTCTCCACCTTCTCCTGAACTCCGGGTCCAGCTCAGCCCAGGCTCTGGGGCTGAGACACAGTGCCTGCTCTCCACTGCACCCAGGGCCATGTGCACAGCTTCTGTCTCCCCTTCTGGGTTCTCTTGTTTCCTGCTTAGTCCTGGCCCCATGAAATTTCATCATCAGTCCCTCAATTGTATTAACCATCACACTTTATATTGTTTGCTTCGTTTTCTGACTCCTTTGTATGGAGTTTCTCTTTTTTTCATTGCTGTATGTATGTACTTAGCACATGACAAGTGCTCAAAACACCACTTTTTCACTTTTTATTATGAAAATTTCAAGCATACACAAAAACAGAGATAACAATTTAATGAATCCTTGTGGACTATTGCCGGCTTTGACTACACTATCTTGCCATTCTTGTTTCACCTCAACAATTTTAGTCTTTCTCTTTCGTGTTGTTGGATTTCTTCAAATGCCTTGCATCTCGGTGGACAACTCCCACTTATGAATGAAGAGCTATATTGCTTCCTGCAGAGTTGGGTGGGTTTCCTTCGCAGTCGTGTGGGTTTGTTTATTCAAAGGCTTATGGTCCCCTCCGTGGGAGGGGTAATTTTTGTCTCTGAGGAAGTGAACGGGGTCTCTCCATCAGCTTCCCCTTCAGGCGTGTGAGTGTGGAGCCAGCAGGCTGCCTGGGGATGCAGGCAAAAATAAGCAAGACTGACTCTAAGGGTAGGGAGCTTCAGTGTCTATCATGCCTGCACAGGGCTGTCTTTCCTTATTTCTCCTCCTGGTTATTCTAGAGGTCCATTCATTTCTTCAGCTCCATCTTGACACCCCCCCCCCCCGCCCCCGCCGCAGTATCCTTACCGTGGGCCCTCTACAGCCAAATCACTTCCACTGTTTAGAGTAATTCTTAGAGCTTCAGCTGGGGCACAGCTACTCTGTGCCTGTCGGCACGGCAATCCCTCGGATTGCTGCCCAGAGCACTCTTGTTCTTGATACCTACTGACTTTAAGCCCAACGCCGCTCTGGGATGGAGAGGAGGTGAATGCGTGTGCTTAGGCTCCATATTGAATGGGAAACTCTAACAGATATTTTTGGCGTAACTAAATTTTGTTTTCTCCCACTTAAGTTCAGAGAGTGTGGCTTCTTCATCTGTGGTCTCCAGGGCTTATCCAGAGGCTCGTGGGCCTGGGTCCCAGTTTTCCAGGGTCTTCCTCCAAGCTGAGGCAGAGCATCAGCCTCCGTTTCAGCTCCTCTGAGTTTCAGCTCCGCGGGGCCCCTCCTCCAGGCATCTAAGTTATAATCATTCCAACCTCTTCCTTTATTCCCCCCAGCCTTCGGGGTGGGAGCTGTGTCTTATCTGTATGACACTTAGCGGTCTCTCTGTACCCTTTCAGTTGCCTAGTGAACAGCTTCATTCCTAGTTACCAATTCTTTATATTAAAATTTCTGTTCTAAAAACGCGTGGTTTCTGTCACCTGACTGCACCCTGACTGATACAATAGTTGCCTAAAATACCATATACTCAGTGTACCAAAGGAACGAAAGATGCCTTGGCCCAGGGCAACGGTGAAGATTGAAAGCTAATGCTCTTGTGCTCCTCCAGACTCAGAGAAAGTTGCATTTTATGCTTAAAAATGAACAAAGAATGTAAAGGTACAAAAGTATTGTCTATTGACATATCGAGGATGGGATTAAAAGAAAAAGTACAGACTTTGGAATCAGTTATATCTGGGTTTGAATCCAGGCTCTGCGGCTTACACACACAAATGACTGAATTTCTTTGAGTCTCAGTTTCTGTATTTGTTAATCAGGGATTGAACAGGTTCCTTGCAGGGCTGTTGAAAGAATACATTGCGATAATGGATGTAAAGTGCTTAGCACAGGGCCTGGCACAGAGTTAAAACTCAATGAATGGGGTGGATGTAGGATGTAGGATATAGCACGACTCAGTGATGCAGTGGAAAGGGGACGGACTAGAGCTCATAAGATGGTTTTAGTCCTGTGTCTACAGCTAACTAGCCCCCCTTTCCTCACAAGTAATACCAAGTTTGAGCTGCATCAAACCAGGTTAGGTTCCCTAATGCTGGTTTCATCTTACAGGCCTGCAAGAAAATGAGGCAAATAATGAGACTGTCCTATATTTTTCATAAAGCTAAATTATTCAGTTTCAAGGATTATCCTTTGTTTTGAGATTTTGCTCTTACTATTTGGGTGCTGATGTCCTGTTTTAATGAAATAATAGTATAGTAGGGTATTTTTTCCCATGTTCTCACTGGACAGACGGGATGAGGGAATTCTCTGGGGTCTCTTTTATAAGGGCACTAATCCCATTCATGAGGGTTCCAACCTCATGTTCTAATCACCTCCCCAAAACCCCACCTCCAAAAACCATCACACTGGGGATTAGATTTCAACATATGAACTGGGGGCAGGGGGCATTCTGTTCTTTAAGTCTGCATCCTTCTTAGAAACTGTACATCCTTTTTATTTGTCAGATAAAGGTGAAATCCTAATGTGTGGTGAACTTACCCCATGGAAATTCAACCACACCAGGAAAGGCAGCACAGCAGAGGGATGAAGAGCTCAGGTTTTGAAGTCAGGCAGATCTGGGCTCAAATAGCAGTTCTGCTATTTACCAGCTATATGACCTGAGTCTCAGTTTCTTCATCTGTAAAATGGGGATAATATTAAAACTTACCTCATGGAATTGTTATAAAGGAGAATTGAGATGTACATGAAGTCTTAGTATAGTGTGTGGCATATAATAAGTGCTTATTAAATGTATGAGTATGTATACATTATTCTGTGTGTGTGTGTATAAATAAAGATTTAGGCTCTATTCCACACCTGTCTTTGTAGATTGGAAACTTAGAATGAAGAGAGACACATTTGCTTAGAATTACTTAAGAAAAATCACAAGTGTTCATTATACAATTTCAAAGTGAATAAGTAAATAAATAAGTAAATAAGGAAACCATTGCTTCAGTGTTATACATTGTCCTGATGGGATGCCATACATAGTTCTAAGACTTTACAGCTATTAACTCACCTGATCCCCATAATAACCCTTAGGAAGTGACCATTACTATCCCGGATTTACAGACGAGGCACAGAAAGTTTAAACAACTTGTTCAAGACCACACAGCTAATAAGTAGTAGAGCCAAGAATCAAACCTAGGCAGTGCGGCCACGAGTCTATACTCTTCACCACGGCAGTGGGGAAAGAAAAAGTGCTTAATTCAGCCTTAAGTACAATCACGGGCATCTCTAGATCTGCACGGTTTCTACAGCGGCCACTAGCTATATGTGGATATTTAAGATAATTGAATTTAAATAAAACTAAATATCCAGTTCCTAGGTTGCGCTCACCAGGTTTAACGTGTTCAATAGCCACACGTGGACAGTGGCTGCCGTTTGGGCAGCACAGACATGGAACATTTCCATCGTTGCAGAAAGTTCCATTGGACAGCACTGTCGTAGATAACTCTGGAAAGTATTAACCAAACATAAAAGACTCAAACTCAACAGGCATCACATGGATTTTCTTTAATTAAATACCACTTCATAATGCTATTTGCACATAGCACATACATTTTTTTGAAAAATAAGACATGCCATACTTTAGTCACTAAATCAACAAAATGTGGGCTTCCACATAGAATATATCCTAAGGTGACATGATTTACACAGCTTCTCAGAGAAACACACAGTAAAATTTTTTGCCTGTCAGCCAGTGTTGGACCAGATTTGGAATTCACAAGGCTGAGGGTTGGAGATTCCCCAACACTACCCTGAGGGACATCTTGTCTCCACACTGTACCATCAAGCCGCCTCATTTCCACCAGAAGAGCAATGGAGATGTCAATCCTCCCTTGCCTACCCAGTGTTCAACTCCATCCTGCAAAACCCTCGCGCGATCTGAGACTTCACGTGATGGCACGTCAGACCTGCGGCTTCGTGGGAGGGCTGGGGGC